AATGCATTTTCACTATATAATCAATAGAGCCCCGCCCTAACACCAGAAACCCTGACCCTGGGGCCATAAAATTCACAATTTTGGAAGAGGCACTCTTGCTCATCATAACTATGTGCTTACTTAGTTTATTTAATACCCAGGAGCAGAGAAGAAGATTTTTAAAGAAAAAATGCATTTTCACTATATAATCAAAAGAGCCCCGCCCTAGCACTAAAATCCCCGACCCTGGGGCCAAAAATTTCACAATTTTGGTAGAAGACTCAGTGGTCATTACATTCATGCTAATAGTTTGACTGCTTGATGTCCAGGAGTAAGGAAGAAGATTTTTAAAGATTGCTTTAATTTTAGTGGTTTTGGCCCCACCCCTAAGGCCCCAGGGGGGCAGGGACCATGATATTTCCCAATTTTTGTTCCCCTTTACTCATAGATGCTTTATGCCAAATTAAGTGTAAATTGGTTGAGTGGTTGCAGAGAAGAAGATAAAAATGTTCAAAAGTTTACGACCGATTGACGACGTACGACGACGGACGAAAACAGATAGCAATAGGTCACCTGAGTGACTCAGGTGATCTAATAAAAAAAAAAGAAAGAGAGGGTAAGAAAATGGTGAGAAAGAAAATAACCTGGGAAAGGGGAGACATAGGATATGGATATATATGGATAAAGAAGGGAAACTTTTCCTTTTCTTTTTACCTGCGTTAAATTATTCCCATGTCTTCTCGATTCCCTGCTCTTTGTTGGAGTGGGGAGAAGATAACTCTCTCATTCCCTTGCTGGGAGAGGGAGACATAGGATAGGGAAAAAGATTGGAAACTTTTCCCTTTCTTACCTGCCCTATTCCTATGTCGTCTGGACTCTCTGCTTCTGGTTCCCATGCTAGGAGAGAGTTCGGGGAGAGTGTGTGGGGGAAAGAGAGTATGTGTGGGGAGAGAGAGAGTGTGTGTGGGGGGAGAGAGAGTGTAAGGAGAGAGGAATGAGTGTGGGGAGAGAGAGATTGGGGAGAGAAAGTGTGGAGAGAGAGAGAGTGTGGGGGAAATAGGAGAGAGAGTGTGGGTAGAGAGGAAAGAGTCGGGAGATGAAAGAGAGTGGGGAGAGAGAATAGAGTGGAGAGAGAAGGGTAGTGGGGATAGAGAGTGGGGAGACACTCGAGAGAGACTAGTCAGGGAGAGAGGAGAGAAAGGGGGATAGAGAGGGGAATAAGGGACAGAGTGAAGGGGGAGAGAAGAGACATGGTGTGGAAAGAGAGTGAGTCGGAACAGAAAGAGAATAATGAGAGGGTTGTTTGTAGGAATATAATGGAGCAGGAATAATACCAAGAGAGAGGTGGAAGGGAAGAAAATAGAAAGCAGTTGGGATTGAGGAAGTGGTAGAGAAGGGCAAGTGGGAGAGAAAATTGTGGGGGGAGGGGGGGCAAATTCTACAAACATTGATTTCAAAACCTTACAGAAAGCCGAACATTTGAAAGTGTAGCTCTTCGTGTGTTCTTATACTATAGCTAGTACTAACAATAAAGGAAGAGGAAAACAGCAACTGGATCTGAAACCCTTTTTTCAGTCTCCTGTACCCAAAAGAGAGACAGTGTTTGGGATAATAACTGTCTGAATGTCTGTCGCTCAAATCTTTTTGATGTTCATTCTGTTAACTGTTCACTCAATACGGAACTTCCGAGATACGTAGTTACTGTCGTTTTTGGTTCAGTAATTAGAATATCTGTCACGTGATAATACACCAATTGTTAGGCAAACGTCATCAGAGAAAGTGAAAGTTGGCAGACGCGCGCTAATGCGGTTTGAAAGGCAAACGAACGGACGCAGACAAAGAAATCAGTGGATGGCCCCAGTTCATATTGGTGCTCTGTACCTGGCTGTACTGCCGATGATCGGAAGAAATCTAATTTGCTGCCTATCCATGGATAAAAGGTATGACATTTCATGTCTACCCCAAACCACATCGCAATGAGGCAATCCTTCGCTCTGACACAGATAAGTAGAATATAATGTTAAATAGTGTGTTTGGTTTTTTAATTAGTCTTTAAATGTTTTAATTCACTAAAGTTGATGACCAAATAATGCACCACGGGCACCTGATATTTTGTCAGTAAGCTGGAAAATAAACTTCAAGTCTTATAAAGCCCTACATGAAAGATTAAAAAACACGCAAAATATACACAATGTGTTTTTATATATTGAGGTCATTTGTGGAGTAGATTTTTAATATATTCGATCAATGCATACTATTTATGCAAGATATATTACTGTATTCAGCGGCGGCTCACACAAATTGGTCCGACCAAAATAGTTCCATCATGATAAGTAGATACAACATTATTGTTCATGATAAGAGTAAAGTTGTGTATGTCATACGTTAAAGAAATCAAAAATAACGTCAAAATATTATTAGAAAGTCACTTTCCCCCCAAAATGCAAATAAAAAATATCAATATTCCTAGGCTCGCTCCCTCCTCAGCCTTTTTTTTTTTTTTTTTTTTTTTTTTTTACATGTTTGATAACAGAGAATAATTAGGTCACTCTTCGATTCATATCTTTTCACCGATGAATTGATAATACTATATCAACAATTGTATTAAGTACATGTTTATAGTCCGTTAATTATCATACAATTTGCTCTTAAAGAAAAAATTAATCATTCTCTGTGTGTGTATTATTAAATGACGGAATTTTCAATCCCTGGCCTGCTCGTGTGTACACTTTGTAAACTGTAGGGTATGTGTGGCAAAACGAGAACTGGGTTGGAGATTCGGGTTCGTGTTGAAGTTCAGCATACCATTTATAGAACTTGAATAATGTAAGTAATTTCTGCGACAAATACATTAGTATATTTCAGTAATTTTCAAAACAAAAAAGTTTTCAGTTTAGAATTTTCCGACCCGGTCCTGATTTTCCCAACCCGGCCATTTTAAACACAAGTTGTTTCAGATGCAAATGTTAGAACAAACTAGATATAGTTCAGCAGGGATTGTATAATTTTTATTAATCAGAATTCGTATTTATATGATCTAATTAAGAAAAGAAAAGTTTTGTCTGCCATCGTAACTTCTCGGCAAAACAAAACGTGTTTCTCCGAGCTCGCTGGATGCGTTTGACAGCTCCATCGCACGTGTGTAGACCAAGGCTAATGTTGGTCTTGCGGACACAGGTACATGTAGGCCTATGTGTACTGTTTGTTAGGAGACTGGGTGACCGTAATGCTATGGACTCACGAAATTTACAACAGTTCCATAATTAGAAAGTGCAGTTTTTTTTTGATTAACGTCATTATAAACATTGTTAAACATATTAAATCTAACAGTCGAATATCTTTGGATATGGGGTAACCCATATCTATTCTTGTTTATTTAGGGCATTACTTGCAATTTATTGTTGAAAATACAGGATGTTTGTCAACACAGAGACCTTTGACAGAATTTATACATACACTACAAATATTTTAAATGAACTTCCAGTGCCCATGGTACATGCACATGTATTTACCACATTTGTGTATAAATCCTGTCACTTACTCACATTAAACAGAATGATAATATGATCGCAGAGGTAGACAGACTACTCGGCCCAACGACACCTCGGCCCGTGCTGGTTGACACCTCGGCCCTGACAGGTCGGCCCAAAATCGTTGACACCTCGGCCCATACCGAAGACAGCTCGGCCCAAGGAAAAAATTAATTTAGGTTATTTGTTTATATTGGTTTTATTTATATTTTTCGTATTTTTTTGTCGATGTAGATGTATGCATGACTAAACACGATACGTTTACTATAAATATACGATAAACAGGGGCAGATAATATCAGTATTTTCGAACAAACCACAGCACAACATCGAATTACAGTAAGTTGATTCCCAGGTCCATTTAATAATTTACTTTGTTGCTTATTACAATGCAACATTATCCATTATTGATATATTTATTAGCCATCTTTAAAACGTGTTTGGTTGCCCTCTCCCAAATGATCTACTGCAGTATATTGTACAGTTGAATTTACCGATCATTGTGTAATTAATATTATGTGTAAATCATCCAGTCTACACAAGTTTTTTTCCTGGACCACAAGATGTATTGTTTTGTTTATTTCTGATTTCTGATTTGTTTAAATCAGTTCAAAGAAATTTTAACAATGGGAATCCTTCAAGGAACTTTTCATTAACATACTCTATCATGATACTGTGTACCAGTTTGAAAACTGAATTAAGGACTTATGGTTTATGAAAAAAACACATGATATTAATATTTATTATTTATTATTTCAATAACAATAACAATATTGACAAAGAGACATATTGACATAAATATAATATTTTCATAAAGTCATATGAAATGATTATTATGAAATAGTCATTTAGTTACAATCACCGTCACAAAATTCACAAAACTTTTCTTGATGTGGTCACATAGGCACAACACAGTCAATGTCACAATTCATAACGGCACTTCAGAATTAATGTAACAATTCACAAAGTCAGTTAGTCACAAAGTTACACTAACAGTCTGCCAACATCCGAGAAATCTTCTTCAGTGCTTTCCTGGCAGAAAGCTCCCCAAGCGCCAGTTTATCCCACACACCAAACAAACGTCCCTGAAAACGTAGAGCGTTCTTCTTCTGTCTACGGCGCAGCTTCTCATTGGAGAGTAGACGAACTTGGAGGTTGACCAGCCGGGATTCCTCTCCAAGGAGCTGCACCGAGCAGTCTTTTGTTTGGGCCGAGCAGTCTCTTATGTGAGCCGAGGTGTCTGCAAATTTGGGCCGAGCCGTCGGGGCCGAGGTGTCAATGGGCCGAGCAGTCGTTGGGCCGAGTAGTCGTTGGGCCGACCAGTCTGACATTCATTGCAGATTATGCAGTGTATAATAGTTGTTTAGAAAGTCATAGTTTACAGTGCATGTACAAAACAAAAGGAACATAATAAATGAATTTTGGTTTATGATGTAGTAAACATTGAAACAAATATATGTAGTTTTTTTTTTCCTTTTAGGTGGGTGGCTCAATCAGATTTTCCAGGAAGTAAAATATGATCCTGGAAGTGTTTTCCTTATATTTCATTGATGGCTGCCCTGCCTGTCCATCTAAAGGATGTCAATAATAATGCTGCAGATTGCCAATCTCTGGTTTCAACATTGGTGTGTACTTTATGTAAAAGATAAGTACTAGATTTATTCAGAAACAATTTAATTAAAACTAGATGTAAGATCCACTCGCACACTTGCTCCACTAACATCTAACAACATCCCATTGAGGGTCACGTCAGAGGTCAAATTCTATTCACTACTCAAATTGTCGCCTGCAAAATCATTGGTTATTTGTTGAAGCGAACAAGTCTAGAAATGTTTCAAATATGACCTCAATGGGATGTTGTAATAGATGTTAGTGTAGCGAGTGTGCAAGTGGATCTAACATCTAATTTTAATTAGATTGATTCAGAAATTAAGTACATCAATTCACATGTTCAACCTACATGTAAGAAATGTTCTGTTCTGTTAATAGACCATAAAATTAAATGCAGGTTAGATTTTAATTTGATAAACAGTATTGATGTTATCTTTCAGCATTAATATTCTCTATGAGTATGTTGATTTTTTCAGAGTGTCACTGTACTTAACGATGGAAGTGTAATCCATTTGCCAACATATCAAGTGCACAGTCAGTACCGCCAAAGTGCAAGACTTCGCATTCATGTTGAGAGAGCCAATCAACGACTCAAGACCTTTCAATTTTATCGGATGTCATGCCTTTAACTTTGAAGTCAATCGGAAACCAAATCTTGGGTGTAACTGCTTTTCTCTGCAACAGTGATTCTTCACTTGTTAAAAAGTGAAAAAATGTACATTTTCCATTTAAGATTCTACATGGGAAACATCTGTTCTCCCTTGCATTTTCCTTGTTTACTTGGATATAATTTCTATTGAAATTTTAAAAATACATTTTTTGACTGCTGATAGTTTCTCTACATGTTCTAATGTAGTGTACAATATTTTGATTATATACATTCTTTTACAAAAATGGTGATGCAAGTTATGAAAGTAAAAGACTGTAAAACTATATTAACAAATTTTTATTACATCTGAAATTTTAAAAGTGGAAAAGAAAGCCATTCAAAATACAACAAGTTATCACAATCTAAGGCACGCCAAATTCACAAAAATGAGATAAACATAGTTTCACAGTCGATAAACTAGGTTTATCGGTTGCAAACTATAGTTTATGGACTGTAAACTATAGTTAACAACGTTAATCTATATTTTACATCCGTAAACCATAGTTAACGCGATAATCTATGTTTCACAACCGTAAACTATACTTAACACTGAAAACAATCATTTGCGATTGCAAAACATAGATTATCTGATAAATACAGTTTCACGATTTGTAAACTATAGTTTACAAACCGTTAACTATAGTTAACGATCTGATAAACATAGTTTCACGATTTGTGAAACTATGATTAACAACTCTTAACTATAGTTTACGATTGTAAACTATAGTTTACGATTGTAAACTATAGTTTACAAACGTGAATCTATGTTTATCAACAAAATCTATTGTTAACACTTATTACAGACAGATAAACTTAGATTATCATTCGTAAACTATAGTTAACAACCGTTAAATATAGTTTTACAGATGAAAACTATACTTAACGAATCGTTAACTATAGTTTACGGTTTGTAAACTATAGTTTACGGTTTGTAAACTATAGTTTACAGTCGATAAACCTAGTTTATCAATTGTGAAACTATGTTTATCTCATTTTTGTGAATTTAGCGTGCCATAATAATCTTATTCATTTCTGATCAAGCAAGTTATTTTTGATGTGGAGTTGTAAAAAAAACATCAGAATGTCAGTTTGTAAAAAAAAAAAGATCTTGAGTAAAAATTATCAATTGGACATATTATTCTCCCTTCAACATTCAAATCATGTTATGCTGTCTGGCTATATCTGGAAATATGGTGACCAATAAAATATTATAGCAAGCTATTAATTTGTTTTTCTAAATTTATAGATTGTATCAGAATGTGTACAGGATTATTGTTAAAACACAAGATGGAAAATTCTCTGTTTTGATGCTTCCTACAGTTATAATGAAATCCCTGTTATAAACATTAATGAATCCTGTTAAAAAATACCTTTAACATCTGCACAATGAAGGAAGTAAAACTTGAAGTCTCTGTGACCAGTACGTTTAACCTCGTCTTACTGTATTGTATACTTTATAAGTTTTGAATTTCTGCAGAAATATCAGAGAAGATGTACCGGTACATGTAATATAAAAAGTTGAAATATACTAGTAAACCATACCAATTAAGAATTAAGTTATAAACCACACCAATTAAGAATTAAGCTAATTTGTGTATTTTAATGAATGCATGGTATGCTTGAAAGAAAAATGTATACAACTTTTCAAGTAAAAAAAAATAATGATTTATCATGTCTATGATGCATAGATTTATTCATCCTGTACGCATTTTATTTTCTCTGTGATAGAAAAGTATTAATGTAAAGTCACACTTCAAAGAAAAATGTACACTTTTGTACAATGGAATTTAAAACATCACAATCAAATATTTAAAAACATTACAATTAAATTAAGTATAACTTAAAGGTAAGTAATCCTTGTTTGGTAAAACAAAATCGCACTATGACAGGGAAAGGATACCTAAATTTGAAGTCACAAAAATATTCTTTATATTTGCTTCATGTAATCCTAGAATGTCCTCACTAGTAATTTCATAATCAGATGGTAGGACAAGTGTCTGTAGTAAAAGTGAATTAGAGTCATTGCACAAATCAAAGAATATTTTTCAATTTACAATTCCGTGTTCATTCTAAATACTTTTACAAGGGTTGAATACAGTATGACACGGACCGTGTTGATCATTTTCAGTTGAGTTGGAGCTATAAACCTGTACATTCTGATTTTTTTCAGTTCGTGATGCAGAGTGTGATTTATCCCATGAACATAAGACATCAGTTCCGACTAGTGTGTTTCTGTCTCTGTAATTAAAAAAGAATATGGTTTTTAAATTTGTTAACATCAAGGAAATGAATATATTTCAAGAATTAAAATAATCTTAAACAGTTTAGTATTGGTGACCTTTTCTTTAAATGTAAATGATTCTTACGCAACACGAGCATCCACCTGACTGTATTTGTCCATTAAATAATGACTTTGGTGCTTTCAACGTGGTATGCTGAACAGTCAATAAAGTTGTTTTACCCCACATCAAGGATATTTCTGCCGATGAATGGTTGTCAGACTTAAAAACAATACCTGACATTGAGATTGGAGAAGTTCTGGTTTGGCTAGGCCTACTCCGCGTAGGATGGGATTCCCCAGGATTGAAACATGACAATAGGTACAAACTGTTTACAAGCTCTCATGTTCATATTGTCAAAATTCACCATTTCGCAAATGCAGCATGATTCTATGTTACGTATCAGACAGTTCCAGAGACCAGACAAGCAGCACCCTAGGCCTACACAGTACCCGTCATGGATTCTTGTCAGTGAACTGGTCAGCTGGTGTAGGTTATTTACGTCTTGATCTTCTAAATTAATTTCGACCGCCAATTTACATAATTTAATAAGATGTCTCTTCCGATAGATTGAACATGTAATACCCTTGGTTGATAAAGAATGCTTTAAAGCAGGTACTTGCCAGGAATCGAAATCGTTCAGCGATGTCGATGCCATGTTTCTGTAAACCGGAAGTGAGTATGCCTAACAATTAACACAAACAAAGCATACCACCCAGATCGGATACGTATCTCGGAAGTTCCGTATTGTTAAACTCTTATTGACCCTGAAGTTTGGCCTATCTTTCAAAAACTTATCCTTGGCTTTAACTTTTGAACAGGTGGTGCTAGGCCTTCATATTTCACATTTCTTATAAGAAGACCTTACTTTGGGTACCGACATAATTATTATACCACCCACTTGAAAAGCGGGAGGGTATATAGTAATCGGTATGTCCGTCCATCCGTCCATCTAGCTGTACGTCCGCCCGTCCGTCTGTTACGCTTTTTGGTGCCCATCTCTTATCCGCAACTTGAATTCACATAATCTTTATTACATATTGCCATTGTGCACCTCCAATTTTACTCTTTGATCCGACACATATATTGGGTTTCCCACAGCAAAACATGGACAGTGACATCATATTCATTTGGAAGGCGGGGAGGGGGGGTCATTTAGTGAGTTTATTGCTCACAATACCTCTTAGTTTAATTTGCATTTAAGAAAATAGAAAATTCTAATCTTCGCTATGTTGCCATACGAGGACATCAGTGTTCAAGACAAACACATCTTGTTCTTTATAACTTTTGATTGAGAGAGGTCTTTCATATTTGATATGTGCATTACCTGTGACAAGTACGGAAGCGTATTAGTGCCACTTGCACACTTCACTTTTTTTTGAATTTTTACACTTTAATCTGTAAATTTTACACTTGAAAGTGTAAATTTTACACTTTAAAGTGTAAATTTTACACTTTAATCTGTAAAATTTACACATTAATCTGTAAATTAAAGTGTAAATTTTACACTTTAAAGTGTAAATTTTAGACTTTAATCTGTATATTTTACTCTTTAATCCGTAAAATTCACACTTATATCTGTAAATTTTACACTTTAAAGTGTTAATTTTACACATTTAATCTGTAAAATTTACACATTAATCTGTAAATTTTACACATTAATCTCTAAAATTTACACATTAATCTGTAAATTTTACACTTTAATCTGTAAATTTTACACTTCAATCTGTAAAATTTACACTTTAATCTGTAAATTTTACACTTTAAAGTGTAAATTTTACATTTTAATGTGTAAAATTTAAATTTACACTTTAAAGTGTAAAATTTACAGATTAAAGTGTAAATTTTACAGATTAAAGTGTAAACTTTACAGATTTAAGTGTAAAATTTACAGATTAAAGTGTAAAATTTACAGATTAAAGTGTAAAATTTACACTTTAAAGTATAAAATTTACAGATTAAAGTGTAAAATTTACAGATTAAAGTATAAATTTTACACTTTAAAGTATAAAATTTACAGATTAAAGTGTAAAATTTACAGATTAAAGTGTAAATTTTACGGATTAAAGTGTAAAATTTACACTTTAAAGTATAAGTTTTACAGATTAAAGTGTAAATTTTACAGATTAAAGTGTAAAATTTACAGATTAAAGTGTAAATTTTACAGATTAAAGTGTAAAATTTACACTTTAAAGTGTAAAATTTACAGATTAAAGTGTTCAAATTAAAAAAAAGTGAAGTGTCCAAGTGGCACTAATACGCTTCCGTAGACAAGATATTTCCGAGCATGCGTTGATTTCTGACCCCTTCACTTTGATCTTCGCGATTGACCTAATTTTCAAAACAATCCACGTCGGTGATAACTTCTGAGTGACATACATGATAGGGTTTTCATATTTGACACAATATGTCATAAAAATGACGTCTTCCACAAAGACACGGAAAGCAGGGGACCACAATTCATTGATTTTGCTTGTTGTTACTGGGACCAATGCATCATGTTGTAAATTGATTTTGAATGAAATGCAAAATGTATCATGATATTAATCATGTAAATTTGGCATTTAATTTTTTTTATTTTTATTGAATGAGGGTCCATTATGACCCACCTTCCACTCGAATTTGTAAAGCCGCTAATCGAAGAATAACTCAGCATTAAAATCTAGTTTCCGTTGTAAAATTAAGTATATGATTTATATATCGTAGAGTTTTTTTTCAATCACATAATTATATACAATGTGATTTACATTTTACCGGATTTTGCATTAGGAAAAACTCTATTGGGAAGTCATGCGCGGATCTAGAGGGGGTCGAGGGGGGTTAGCCCCCACCCCCCCCCCCCTTGAATTTTAAAGGTTATTAAATTTATATACTAAAGCAAAAAAGTTACCTTGGACCCCCCCTCGGAAAACGCATACCCCCCTGGTAAATGCGAATACGTGTTAAATTGGTATGAAAAGTAAAAGGTTTCTGTTTCAAGCAGTAGAAGTCATCGACTACCCCCCCCCCCCTCCACCCCCCGACCCACCCCACCCCATGAAATAAGTTTTTGAAGTTTGGGCGAGTTTAGGTTTTTATTTTTATTTGGTCTGGGGTGTTCTGGATCCGCGCCTGGAAGTGGATTGGGATTGATGAGGTATTGCATGATTTTACATTTTCATTTATATTAATTTTAAAATTGATATCAAAATGAATGACAACACACCGTCAAACACTTATAATTATTTTTCTTTAATTTTGTATATACGTGGTTTTTCCAGTGTAGCTTCCCGATTTTAATAGTTTACACTGGGAAGATTGCGCTAGCTTTGTCATAAATAAAGCAATATCCAATATATATACCAGGAAAACTATTATATTTAAAAAAAAAATGAATTTCTCAGTTCATTTTAAAAAGACTCCTAACAACTTAAAGCTATATGAGCAAGTGGATGCAAAATTTTCCCCAAAATAAAAAAAAAAAAATTATTTAATTATTTAAAAAAATTATTTAATTATTTAAAAATTAATTTCGGGAATACATGCACTGTAAGCCCCCCCCCCCCCCAGAAGAATTAAAGTAAAATAGACATAAAATTAATAAACTGCATAGCTATTTCAATAAATAACTGAAACGTAAAATAAAAAAAATTAAAAATATCATATCATACATATGGTCAGAGACGTATGTCTCTGATATGGTATAATGTATAAAATAATCCAAGACACACAACCAGTGTTTAATTTCCTGTCTAATTACTTTTTAACGATCTAAAATTCATACATGTAAATACGTCTTTAATTTTTGTTGTATTAAAAACTTATGGGCTGTTGAATGCGGATATTTATTGAATTATCTGCCCCTTAAAAACCGGCTTCCGCTAGGTGTAAAGAAAGTCCAAGTGCCACAGAAGCATTTGGATTGAAAACCCGTTGGAGGGTTATAATCCATTCAAGGTATTGTATAGTGTGTTTTTCTTGCTATTAAACACGAATATCTATATCAGAATCTACAAATAATCCCATGAAATGTATTATATAGTTCACACTTTACCAAAACATCCTGGACACCCAGATTTATATGCGTGTATATTGAGGATTGCACATGCTGTTGACACATGGGTGTAATGACCATATTTCAATAAGTTATTCATAACCAAGGAGATTGGAGCCTTGTTAAGGTATCGGTATGAAAATCATGATTTTCATTTATTATTTCCAAAACAATAACACGAAGAAAATGATAAACTTAACGTAGATCTAATTTATGTATAGCAGCTGTGTACCCGAATTTCCTCAATGATTGAATATTGCAAGGGAAAGTTTCATAAAATCCTGCTCCACCTGAAATCTTGAAAGTACGTTCTTGCAAAATTTAATGAATCAGCCATGTTACCATGGTTTTTTCCCACAAAAAATTAAAAACGCAGAGCGTCTTGCTCTGTATATATGAAATAAACTGGAAGCTTTTATAATTCAAATAAACATCATAAACACAAGGAACTTAGATCAAACCAACAAACAACAAGGAAGCAGCTTAATATCCTAATCTTACATAACAATTGGAAACGATGTTTATTTTAATGTAAAATGGTGTACTTGAGACCGTGAGATCATCCCAAGCCAATTGACAGGAAACTCCTGCACAACTTTTACCATTGTTTACTCGAAAACATATGTTAAATTATTTACAGTGAATTAAAAATAAGAAAGGGACATTTATTTCACTGTCTATAAATATTACAAGTTGGAAATGTTTTAATTTTACTTTGAACTCATAGACCAAGTTTGAAAGATGAATAAGCAGAAAAATGTAGAATTTCTGAAAGTATTTTTGACATGAAAATATATATTTTATTATATTGTTGTTATCTTTTTTGTAGGCAAAATGTCCAGAAAAAATGACAAATCGACAGCTCCGGCTGACAAACTGACTCGTATAGCCATTGTGAGCAATGACAAATGTAAGCCGAAAAGATGCAGACAGGAATGTAAAAAGTCATGTCCTGTTGTTAGAATGGGTAAGATCTCTAAACCTAAATGAAAAGAGAGGACAATACTAAGTCACATAGTTTAGATGTGCTTACTTTTATAATAAATATCTGTATTTAGCATTAGGTAAAGTTACAGTTCATTAAAGAAGATTTGATTTTAAAATTGAAAGAATCTAATTTTAATTACTTAACATCTGACTGTTTAATATATGTTATTGAGACATTGTGGTTTATCCCAGTTTGAAAAAAAAGATTAATGTCACTTCTTTTTTAATCTTTAATAATAAAAATATCTCTTTCTACATGTTGTAATGATAAAGTTCTTCTGTAGGAAAATTATGCATAGAGGTCACTCCTGCAGACAAAATTGCTTTCATTTCTGAAGAGCTCTGTATTGGATGTGGTATCTGTGCAAAGGTAAGCTATCTCAGAAGATTTTTTTTATACATTATTGTCTTGTTATTTTAAATATTCTTAATTGACCATCAATATATCTGATATAAATTAAAAGGAGGCATCTTAAGAATATGCGATAAATCTACAATAAATGCACAGACAATTTAATTTGAACATGCAGATAGAGAATCATTCTGTATATCCAAGGTATGTAAATATTTCTTGAATATATTTTCTACTTCTTATGCGTTAAATTTAATATAAGATATCCTATAGAATTATCATAAATGCTTGTGAAACTATGGACTGATCATTTACACAGAAGAAGTACACATGTCTCCAAATCTTTTTTTTCAGAAATGTCCTTTTGAAGCTATATCCATCATCAACTTACCCAGTAATCTGGAAAAAGACACAACCCACCGATACAGTGCTAATTCCTTCAAACTTCACAGGTAAATCCTGCAACTCAGTAACAGTTTAAGATCTCATTATCTCATTTTATAAGTGATGTAATGGCCTAAAAAAGTACAATGCTTATCACACACAGTAAAAAGGGTTAGGTGGGGTAAATAGTGATGGAATGTTTGTTGGTCTACATTTATCAGTTTGTTTCAACTTGCCATTATAATTGGTATGGTAGTAGGGTATCATTGTAAGCTCATTCCTTACTGTAACACTGGCATTCACACTGACATTTATTTAGTTTATCAATTAGTTTAGTTATATGCACAAGTATTCTATCTTAATCAATATTTTCACCTTTTTTCTGTCCAGACTTCCGATTCCCAGACCTGGAGAAGTGCTGGGATTGGTCGGCACCAATGGTATTGGAAAGTCCACAGCGCTGAAAATTTTGGCAGGAAAACAGAAACCAAACTTAGGCCGTTTCAATGTAAGAATTAGAAACCATTTAATGTAAATGGAATGCATGCCATAGGGTATCCTTTTCTGTATTAATTCTTAAAGACCAAGGCACAGTTAAACTTGGTTACCAAGAAATTGCCTGTAGGAAAATGTATGTTATAAGGAAACTTTTATGAATCCTGTTGAAGGCTTTGCACTTTGTTTCTTATACAGATATAAAGATCTTTGATATACACTTGAATAGTTAAGCATCATAAGGAAGCAAAATTGGACATGCATAATTACAGGCATGAAAATTCATATTCAGTTGAAAAAAAAATTGAGAAATGTTAATATAACAAACATAATTTTCAAAATCTTTTCACAGAGAAAACGGTGGGAAATTATGATAATTTCTTATATTTAAGGAGTTTTACTGGCTGTGTTAATTGTATAGTGTTTATGTAGAGGTTGCTAAATGTTTTACATTTTACATATATTTCTGTGTTGTGTGTTTACACTTATTTTATCTCACTAACAGGAACCCACCCCCACCCCCCTCGATTTGTACATATATTTTTATACTGTGTGTTTACACCTATTTTGTCTCATTGACAGGACCCCCCTGACTGGACAGAGATCCTGACCTATTTTAGAGGGTCAGAGCTACAGAACTTCTTCACCAAAATCCTGGAAGATGACCTGAAGGCTATTATCAAGCCCCAGTATGTAGATCAGATCCCAAAGGCTGTTAAGGTAATTATCAAGCCCCAGTATGTAGATTAGATCCCGAAGGCTGTTAAGATAATTATCAAGCCCCAGTATGTAGATCAGATCCCAAAGGCTGTTAAGATAATTATCAAGCCCCAGTATGTAGATCAGATCCCAAAGGCTGTTAAGGTAATTATCAAGCCCCAGTATGTAGACCAGATCCCAAGTAAAGGCCGTAAAGGTACACTGCCCAGTTCTTCTCACATTTGTCTTCTTTCTAATTTGATTTCTTGGGGGGCTGTTTTATTACTTAATTTCTACATAAGCATGAATGTTTCAAAATGAGGTAGTGAAAATGTCTTTCTAAAGTTTACATTACCTCCCTTCCCCCTGTATAATGTGTTTTGAAATAGAATAACTGCTCTGATCATTACTATAGCATCTTGTTAACTTTACATTTCCACTGTTCTGTAAATTTTGGAGTAAGGTGGGAAAGAAATAATTTTTGTGTCTGGTTTTCAGGGATCTGTTCAGCAGTTACTAGACAAAAAGGATGACCTGGGAAATCAGACAGATGTGTGTGAACAACTCGGTAAGCTCAGGTTCTTAGGGAAATTACCATAAAAAAAGTACTTGTGCCTATAAGAGATGCATATTTTTTAAAACAGGAAATACCTGGTTACAGGACATATTTACCTGGTAAAAAAATATATGACCACCATTTAAAGTAAATAAATCAGTTCAATTAAGCAAAAATAGTGGTCTTGAAACCAATTATAAATTGATTATTTAAACTTTGAACCTTTGATGTGTATTAGCTTCTCAGCCAGTTAAATTATACAATTTTGTGAGGAATTGAATCTTTCATTGCATGTACATGTGTTGCCAGAATGCCAGTGAAAAATGTAAAAATATAACGACTTTACAGATTTGGTTAATGTAAAAGACAGAAATGTGGAGGATCTCTCAGGAGGGGAACTACAGAGGTTTGCTTGTGCCATGGTGTGCATACAGAAGGCTGATATGTAAGTGGTCTGTCCAACAACTTCAGGGATTATTTCCTGAAAATAGGGATTTATAAAACTTGATTTAATCACTTTCTTTGTTTGGTGTTTGGCCTATGAAAAAAGAGTTTTGTTTGTTTCCTCTTTCTATTCCATATACCCACTCCAAAGAAAAAAGAAAACAATAAGAAATGCTTTGAATTTGTAAATTATTCCATGAAGTAATTTGATATATTACTTACCATTCCCAATATTTTTCGTTATTTCATGAGCTAAAAAGCTCCTTTTCTTCCATATTGCATAAATACCTAGCATACATGTAGGTCAGTATTGTAAATTAGAAAGGGAAAACAAATTACAAACCAGACATACTGTGATACAAAAAAAGACAAAGAAAAAATGTATCTGCAGAAACAGACATCTACATCATGTAGATATTTTTTTCGGACCTCAAAATTTTAAAATTTTATGGACATGTTTTTTCTCTAATAGAAGTACAATTTTCTACTAGAACATACTAGAATACAGTGTACATTTATGCTTCCTCTACTGTAAATTCAAAATTTTCTTGCTGGTGATGATATGATAAATTGCTGTTCACATTCATAAAAATTGTGTTGACAACAATTGTAGCCTCTGAAGCAAGTTCCTATTTAATCAGATACCGATTTCAAATTGAAATTCTGCTGGTAGTTCTTTTGAATTTTAAGCGTTCTTGTTCAGAATTGTAGAATATTCTAACAGCAAAAATTGAGGGAAAACATTTCCAGAGATTCTTGTTCATTTATGAAGGGTGCATTAATAAGAGATGTGAGATAAATATTTGAACTTATGACTTTGATTCAACATGTCAAAGTTTCAACTAATCATAATACTACTAGATCACAAAACCAGTTGACTGCATACAGTCATGTACCTGTTGCATCAGATATTTGTTGGAGAAAATTGTAGATGAAAGCAGTGACATAAATAAATATTGAATACACAGTACGGTGTGTAGTCTAGTATAATTCTAATGTTTCCAGCAGCAGCAGCTTGACTGAAATTCTGTTAATTTTATGACTCTTGTAAATTTCAGTTTTTTGTGTTTAGTTTCATGTTTGACGAGCCCTCTAGTTACCTGGACGTTAAGCAGAGATTGAAGGCTGCCTTGGCTATACGACAACTGATTCATCCAGACAAGTTCATCATCGTGGTAGAACACGACTTGTCGGTGTTGGACTACCTCTCAGACTTTATCTGTTGTCTCTATGGAGTTCCCGGAGCTTATGGTGTTGTTACTATGCCTTTCAGTGTTAGAGAAGGTATGAATTGTTATCAAATGAACGTGATATTCAGAATTAAAGAATTTTTGTACTTGTATACTTTCAGAATATATAGACGTACCAGGATTCATTTTGTAGAACTGAGTCTGCTTTTTCATGCAAATATCGTTGAATTTTGTTGTTTTATTTTTGAAGGTTAAAATTTTTAAATTTTGACTAAGATCTCTGTAAACATGTTATATTGTAATGGCATTATATGACTCAGCTTATGGATTTGAATCAAAATTCATATTTTAATATGTTTTAAGTTCTTATGAACGTAAGAAAATACATCTTAATCCATAATTTTGTTTTCAGGAATCAACATTTTCTTGGATGGATTTGTTCCAACAGAAAATCTAAGATTCAGAGAGGCATCCTTGACATTCAAGGTGGCAGAAACAGCCTTGGAGGAAGAGATCAAGAGGATGTGTAGATATGAATACCCAGACATGATGAAGAAGATGGGTAGGTTTATGCGAGAAAATGGATCAAAATATAAAAAATTCACAAATATCACGAAAATTATATTTTTGTACCAGTTTATGTATTTTAAGTGTCCCCTCACAAATACCATATCTAGAAATTAATGCAGCATTCAGCATCAATTTCGATGCAGATTATTTCTCTTCCACCTAGCATAAAGGACAAGCTAACCTACAAACACACAAGTGGATCACTTTATCCCCTCTGACTTTGTTGCGAGGGGATATTCATGTCATGACAGTAGCATTATCTGTACTATTAGGATGTTGCATGGTGTTCCAGTATTTATTAAGGTGTATACAAGTATACTATCCACATTCTTGTTATTGTAGGAAGTTTCGAACTCCGAGTTGGTTGTGGACAGTTCACAGATTCAGAAATCATTGTGATGTTGGGTGAGAATGGGACAGGGAAAACAACATTTATCAGAATGCTGGCAGGAAAACTGACACCAGATGAAGGAGGTTTGTTATACATGTAGATAATATCAAATATATGTCTGACTGTATGCAAATACATATAATTTTAATTATCTTTAGGATATTATTGAAGTTCAAAGGATTACTACATTCAGTTTGGATTTTTTGCTCTGACAAGTCATTTGTTTTGCAAGACATTTCCTTGTCACCTTTTTCCAATGGTCCACACTATTTATGAAACTAATGATGAAGGACGAAATTCTCTGATGTTATTCATAGGTTTATCTTAAAAGGGTTAGAGAGCCTATTGAACTGTTGATTTTTTTTATTTTATTTCTTTTTCACATTGTTCATCCTTCCCACAGGGCCTTGTCCAATGTTGAATGTGAGCTACAAGCCACAGAAGATTAGCCCCAAGTCCCAGGGCACAGTGAGACAGCTGTTACATGAACGAATCCGGGATGCTTATGTCCACCCCCAGTTTGTGACTGATGTCATGAAGCCTCTCATGATAGAAAACATCATAGACCAAGAGGTAAGGTTGATTTATATTGTACTGTAGTTGTGCCTGGAACAGGCTACATTGCAGTTGGCATGTATCTACAAATAAGCAACATAATCATAAGTGAAAAGAAGCTTTTAATGAAGTGCCAGAGACAGTCAATTCTGCTATCATAAACAATTCATAATATCCATTTAATATGTTTATATCATATTTTAATGAAAGAAAGTCACTCTGCTATAGGCATCAGTTTATTGTTAGCATGTTTGCTGAAAGTGTGGATTTACTGTATCTACATACATGTGTATTGAAAGAAATGAGCTTTTCTTCTCTCTATAACAGTATATGTATTGTGTCTACAGGTTCAGAACTTGTCAGGAGGAGAGTTACAGAGAGTTGCCCTAGCTCTGTGTCTGGGAAAACCAGCAGACGTGTACCTGATTGACGAGCCGTCTGCCTATCTGGATTCTGAACAGCGTCTGCACGCTGCTAAAGTCATCAAGAGGTCAGTACAAAATTATATGTTGATTATATGTACACATGTATAGGGTTCTAGTTTTCTTTATACAAAATTTGGTTGAAATTAGCAGAAGTAAATTTTGTTACTTATACACCTGTACATTTGAAAGAAGCAGTTTAAAGTCACAATAAGATAAGATTGTTATTGCTCATCAATTAGCATGCTGAATTATTTTTGGAAAACTTGATTTGAATTTTAATATCTGCATTATTTGTTAAGTGGAATACCTGTAAGTTTATCTCTGAACAAGTGTAATATGTCTATTACTACATGTAATAGAAATTGTCTCTTTCTTTAGGTTTATTTTACATGCCAAGAAGACTGCCTTTGTGGTGGAGCACGATTTCATCATGGCTACCTACCTTGCTGACCGAGTCGTGGTCTTTGAAGGAACTCCTTCTATCAGTACAAAGGCTAATAGGTAAGGCTTTCTTCCTTCAGTTGTGAATGTGAAAATGATTAGAATTGATCTGAGCTTGAGGACCAGTGACTGGTTATTTATAAACTGGATTATTGTTTTACAGTCCTCAGTCACTGTTGAATGGAATGAATAACTTCCTGGAGTCCCTGGACATCACCTTCAGACGAGATCCTAACAACTTCAGACCCCGCATCAACAAACTCAACTCTGTCAAGGTAACAGGCCAGTCAAAGAATGTACATATTATAAATAAGAATAAAAAGTGCTAGGTCTGATCCATGAAAAATGAATGTTGTTCATAATGGAGCTATATTTCCTTTATCAGTGTTGATTTTAAGGATAGAAGTTACTTCCAAGTCCCATTCTATCTTTCAAAGGGAGAATAAAGAATAAGTTAAAAATTTATTAAATTTCAACTCTTACAAATCATTTTCTCAAAAAAATCAATGAATCAGAAAAAAATTGAACCTTATGTGAAAGCTTCATTAACAGTGTTTGTACACTTATGAACCCTGTGGACAAAATACACGTTTTGATACATGAACATATAAATGTTTAAGCCTGGGTTGTTTTTTTTCGCAGGACACTGAACAGAAGAAGAGTGGTAACTACTTTTTCTTGGAGGACTGAAACTAGGTCGCTGAGACCATGGAGCTCGTTAGCTTGGGCTCTCCCAGCTCTTACATTGTGTCCTGGTGCCTGGCTGTTATTCTACAAGAAAATGGTGGATCAGTTTGTTACATGTACATGATGTACAAATTATAAAAAAAACAAAAATGAAAATTTTTCAAAACTTGATATTTAAATTATTATACCTGTAATTTCACATTATGCCCAAAAATATCATTCAGGTGTCGTTGAGAACTAAAAGATATATAAAATTTACAATAGTTCTACATGTGTATGCACTCGCAATAAGGAATTTTCATATGAATGTGCAAAATAAGGAGAAAAAAAATATGAGAAAACTTTACATGTAACATTTTGCTCTCTTACCAACAAAATATCAAAAGAGAAAAATTTAAGATCTTGACCATAAATACTGTACATGTATGAACTTGATATGTTTTGAGATTGGTAGATATTATGTATTTTTCTTAAATCCTTTTTAAAATGAACTGTTGTAGACCGAAAGGGCATGGCCAGACACAATTCTGTTTTTCAATATTATAATAATGGTTATTGCAAAATGTTTGGAAAAAATATGGTTAAAAGTTATAATTGCACACTGTGTATGTGCTGATCTTTCTGCATTGTGATAGATGTAATAATGAATTGCAGAGTCAATGACTATATCATGTTTCTATTTTTATCTCAATTTTTGCATCTGAACTATATCAAACAAGATTTCCCCAAAATGATGCTGTAATTTTTGGACTCATGAATTGCCCCTTGTATTTATTTCCAGTAAACAGTTACATTGAAGGTGCAGTTGAATCTTAATTTATAAATTGTGACTGGATATATTGGTAGGTGCAATTGTGAAAAAAATATACAAAGAACTTAATTTGATATTTCAATAAATGACTTTACAAGTAAAAAAAAAATTACTTATAAACTGGCCAAGAATCATGTGATATGAAAATATTTTGCCCATAAATTGGGGTGATGAGCAGTTACACTGGTTTAGAATATAAAATAGGGCAGGTATCATCATATTTGCACTGAAGGGAATGGTGTCCATTCCATGAAAAATAGCTTTATACTTGTTCTTCTCGGACAGGGTACATTTTAATATTACACGTACAGAATATGATTTATAAGTAACAATATTTATTGTGTGTAATTGAGGGAGATGTTGATTATAGTTTCAGGCATTTTTTTCTCTCCATGTTCATGATGTTCCTATCAACATTTAATTATATTACCTGTATGTTTCAGTTAACATGAACCCTGTATAGTTGCAAGAGTTAAGAGATATAATTTACACCTCTATAAATAATGTATCTATACTGATACTTTACAGTCCCCAGGGCCTCCCTAGATTATACTAGGTTTCGTTTTGCTTTAATATCAAGTAGTTTTCAAATCGTGCACATTAAAACTGGCAATTCAGAACTGCCCGTACTTTTGCCATGATTATCATTTCCTTTGCCTGTTTTGAATGCTACATCTGTAAATCTTGCTTGCAATTGCATTTTATGCCACCCTACAGACCTATTTTCAATGGCCGGGGAAGGGGCACTTCTGAGAAAAAATTGAAAAGAAAAACAAACTCTGAAATCCCTTGGGTATTTCGTGGAGGCCTAGGAGAGAAATGTGATAGGTCTTTCTAACTTTTCAGTACAATAATTTCTCCCTTAGAATTCAGATGCTGGATCTTCAATCGTTCAGCAACAGGGGTAGGGGATCGAAATATTTAAAAAAAAAATTTTGCTTTGAAAAAGAGAGCCCCCCTTTTCTCCACCTACTACTGACCTTACCCATACAAACTTTTTCATATGGAATGAAATACTAGTTTTATGAAACTTTTTTTCTGAAGCATGAGCCTGTCGTCGTATGTTGTTACCAGTACATATCAGTTCCTCTAAAAACGTGCAAATTTGACATTTATTTATATCTAGCTTGACAACACAAACTGATCATAATCACATGGAATGGAATTATAATACAATACTAAATGAAATGTTCATAATTATAAACTTGAAGAAAATTTTATCTTGTAAGCTTTAATTTTTTTCAATCGTACAGTATAGACTTGCACACTTAGAATATATCTCCTTGTAATAACTTCAGATCCCATACCAAACCATTCTCACAATTTGCTCATGAGCAGCTCACGTGAGGACTAACCAGATTTCCTCACCTGAGTTGCTCATGTGAGTCTCATGTGCAATTTAACATGCAAATTAGGTGAAATGCTCACGTGAGCAGGGTTCTGCACATTAGAATTTTTTGCTCACGTGAGGAATCATTTTGCTCACCTAGAATTTTGCTCACATGAGGCTCATGAGTCTCATGAGACTCATGTGCAACAATTGCTTACCTGAACAAGCAACAATAGAACAAAATTCATATTACAAACATTATATAATTATGTAATTTTAAAATGTGATTCATCAGTTACATTTTAAATACTCTTGAGCAACATGTACATGTAAATAGATGCATGCATAATTATGTTCAGTCAACTTCCTTTTTTAAACTTAAAATGAAATAAAAAATTAAATTAAATTATCATAATTATGTACAGCACACATCAATCAAATTAATTATTTTTATTCAATAGTTCCATTTCCAGTAGATTAACATAGAACATCCAATGTAAATGTCCAGTCAACTTTTTTGACTGCACTAGTACTAAATGGATTAAAGTTGTCTTAAAGTTGTCTTGGAGGCTAAGTAGATGTTTCTGCCTTTGCTGAATTTATGAGTGGCAGTCATACTTGGGTGTAAAATAAATAATCCAGTGGTCATAAGAATCGTAATCAATTCATCCTGTTCCATTCTTTTTCCTTGCATTTCCTTTAAATGAGTGCCAACATCAGAACTCTGTCATGTATGCAAGCTCAGCTAGGGTCCGTGATTAATCTGCAGATCCTTTGATTCCAATTAACTTTCATCTGCAAAAAATTTGAAGTGATAGTTAGTTATATAATATTTTCAAGCTAGGTTCTATTGGTCATGAAAAGCCAGTCAATAGAAAAATCATATGCATCAATATTTAATTAGCAACTTAAATAATGTAATTCATGGAATACTGCACTGAGGCTGTCAATTGTACACTCTGACCTAATCTGTTCTTACCATATTTATAGTTCTTAATTAAACTGTAATTCCTGATAACATTCTGCATTAAATATATCAAAATAAAATACGCTGATAATTAACACAAAAACATATTATTTTTTAATTAGTATTATCTGAAATGAGAGGGGGATAATAAATTTCAAAGCACTTACCCTATTCTCAGCAAATCTTTTCTTCATTGTGGCTGCACCATATGGTAAAATCTAATTGATCTTTAATCATTTCCTCATCCCATGGACATACTGGATATACATTTGTAACTTTTAAAGGCTGGCATTTATTTCAAAATGGTGATGACAGACATGTATTTCCAAAAGCATATTTCAGATCTTTACTGTATTAATCCATATACTGGTACTTTCAATGTCCCTCACAAACATTTTGTATTGAAATTTTGAACTGGTCTGAGAAGGCGCACAAATCCTGACTGGCCCTCCTCATTGGATACTGCTGCACTTTAAGTAACAGTGGGGGACACAACAGGTTGTTTAGGAAGAGGAAGGCATTTTCAAATTGATGGGAATATGAAAATTAGAAGCTCAAGAAATTAAGATATTCCTGCCTGGTCCCCAATCATTTGTGATGCTATCAGCAGGAAGTGTTAACACTTAACACATGGTCAATTTGTAATAAAGGCTTGGGAAAGCTTGGACCACATAGAGTGTCAGAGTATTGTATTTCCTCATGTGAGCCTCACGTGAGGACTTGTAATTCTTTGGTTTTGGTTCTACTTGTAATAATGAATTTTGACTATGTACAATTTCCTCACCTCTTGCTCACTTCTTGCTCACGTGAGAAAACTGAACTTAGAAAAATCACTACCAATGCTCTATCTTAAATAAGGTTTTTCTTAGGTGAGCAAATTGAATAGACTTTTGCTCATGAGCATTGAGGTGAGCATAATTTTGCACATGTGCATTTTGGTTAGTATTTTCCTCCCTAACAGAGACTAACAATCTGCACATGAGCAAAATTCAATTCTACCTAATTTGCATACAATTCTTACTTGATTCTCATGTGAGTCTCATGAGCTGCTCATGAGCATTTGTTAGAATGTTTGGTACGGGATTTCAAGATGCCAAAAAATGGGTCATTTGTAAATCAAGTATATTTTTCCTTATGACGACTATTCTCATCGTTAACACTAAGCTTGCATGTATTTATTTTGTTGTTGACTCATTGCCCTGCGACGTTCTTCTTCCTTGCATTTGAAACAATTAAAACAGAGACATGACGCCTCAGGGTCCGCATGATAGGCACACGGACAAAATTCACAGAAACACAGTAAAACCCTTAGTATCTCCAACATACACAATGTCATGTCAATTATAGCCACCACAGATGTAACAACTCCATACCACTCCCGAAAATCCGCCACATAAAAAATAAACAAGGCGTGGACGAAGGTGGTTATTTTGAAAGATACAAAAATCAGTCTCCATATTTTGGGGTGGTAGGCATTAGCTATAGCCTCCCATTTCTTGGCGGCTACCACAGACAGTGTTATTAACAAAGCAAGCACGACGCCCACGTAACATAGAATGGGGATCTTGTATGTGTCCGTCCATTCTGGGAGTCCGAGCTTGAGTCCCAGGAATAACACTGCCCCCGCGTCTATCACGTACCCTATCCAGACCCGGACAACAAATATAATGACCCACTTCTTTGGCTCCTCACTGAGTTTTTTATCCACATATCTTGATATAACACAGTTAGCTAAACATAGCACTATATCTCCATTATTTCTACAACATTCCGACATTGCTGCTTTCTCAAGTTACTGTCTATTTAAACCTATACACACTACATTCACCTAATGTAAATCATCTGACCCACTCATTATTAGTAATATCACTTCTTTCAGATGTCTTGATATTCATACTGACATACAGGTCGATTTCTGATATGTCGAATGTTTGCCTACGGACTGAACTTTTCCTTGTATATTTAGGAAATAAATCTGTAATGACCCCAAGTCACAATATGTATGGTCATTATGAATTATTTCCTTTGTACTTTCACTTTTATTGTTCTGATCAGTATACAGCTGGAAAATATTTACATGCTTCAATGTTTGCTTTCTGGTTTCTAAGGACAGCGAAAAATAAGTATTTCGATCCCTATACATTCAATGAAAGTGTACAAAGTCTTAATTAATATTAGCTAACTAGTGTCTCAATTCCTACAATTTTTTTTCTTCTTAAAATAGAAAATTTTGTGTTATGACAACAATCTTACCCAGAGTGAAACATGTATAACTAAAAATTTAATTAATTACTTGTCAGGAGGAAGTATGATATGTATACCTATCCAAGCATGCGTAAGTAGTTATGTTCCCCAAACGGAGTTTGGGAACATATTGTTTTTACTCTGTTTCTTATTATTATTATTTTTTTTCTTATTTATTCTCCGGTACTTTTTTGTCCGCGAGTGTTCCCAGAAACTGTTCACCCAACTGAGCTAAAACCTTTTTAGGGTTAATAGGTGTGTAGTGTAGGTGTGCGGAACGAAGGTCATTTTGCGCGCATACGCCTGCACGTGCGTGCGCGTGAAACGAGTGAATTGACTGATATACTTAATATAGCTATAACTTTAACATTTTTTAATGAAATGCTTTGAAACTCATTACATAAGGATATATCAATAGTGTTAATGATATGACACTGTCAAATTAGCACGAACTCACGCGCATGCACGTGCGCCATGCTCTGATTGGCTGAAACAAATATCTCAATATCTATTTTGTTTTCCGACGAAATGCTTTGAAATTTTTAACATTGTCATGAATTAGGATATCCTACAATATAATATGGAAAAAATTGCATAAAATCACGCGCATGCACGTGCGCTGCAATTTGATTGGCTGAAACTTTAAATGGCTATATCTCCTTTGTTTTTTGACGAAATGCTTTGAAATTTAAAACTTAGTTATGCATTAGGATATCCTGCAATATGATATACAAAAAATTTCAAGAAATCACGCGCATGTACGTGTGCTGCAATCTGATTGGCTTAAACTTTAAATGGCTATATCTCCTTTGATTTTTGACGAAATGCTTTGAAATTTAAAACATCGTCATGTATTAGGATATTCTACAATATGGTTTAGAAAAAAAATCTTGAAATCACGTGTATGCACGTGTGATGCAATCTGATTGGCTGAAACTTGAAATGGCTATAATTCCCTTGGTTTTCAACCAAATATAATGGGATCTAGAACATAGATAGATATAAGGGCCTCCTACAAGAAGGTATGGTCATCATGCACGTGCACGCACGTGCGTACATTTGAAACGAATGAAATTAAAAATACACTTAAATGAGTGATTTTTCATACTTTGGACTAAATGCTTTAATATAAAATATATTTAAATATATAGAAAGTGTAGTCAAGATTATATGATCATTATGCACGTGCATTCACATGGGCACGCGTGCAATGTTAAAAATTGAATATAATTGGTATCCTTTTGGGAAAACGTTGTTAAAGTCAAAAATGCACAGGTATTTATTATTTAATAAGGCTAACAGGGAATATGGCATCAAAACGGAGTTGGGGAGCGTTTGGGGAACATCTGTAACGGTTCCCGTTACAATTAGCACTAGTTTTGGTTAACATGAACGTTAATATTTAATTGTGAAAAAAAACTTAAACAAAAATCTAAATTTACTTTAATCCATATAATATGGTTTATTTATATATATAATATTTATTATAAATACATAAAATTCTGCTAATGCATACGTGGAAAATTCAGTATTTACCTCCAACCTTCTTTCTGAGAATTTGAGATTAAATAATAATATGACTTTTTAAAAACATTTTAAAAATGGGTTTTATTGGCTAGATTGAAATATTCAACATTTAATATTTTCCTTTCTTTATATTAGTTTTAAAAAATAAAGATACGTGGTAAAATCGGTTAAATTTTTACAATGAACTATTCTGATTAAACTGCAAAAAAAAAAAAAAAATAAATAAATAAATAAAAACGCAATACACCATCTATAAAACATTTTTATTGACTAGATTATAAATAATCCATGATTATTCATTATACTCATATATGGTGATATACGTATAGCGATGTTTATTATTTTGACAAAATTAAACATTGAGTGTGTATAATATGGCAGATCTTAATTGGTTTTGAAAAGAATATATTAATTCCCAGTGTTTTCAAATCAATCTAGACATAAGGACGCAATCGTCATGATCTAGATTATCATCAAATCTTTTAATCATATTGGAAATGGCATCATGATTAAGTGCCGAAAATTCATATCTTCATCATAAATAATATTTAATGTTCGTTTCATGCAATTTCAGATCACTGCCTTCTCCTTTGATTGGTCCTTGAAAAGAATTTTCTGATTCGAGTGAATAATCCAGGCCTTTCTTCGGCTTTTTCTTTAATTCTCTGATAAAAAAGAAATACATTCGTTTTATACTTGGCTAAATATATACAACATATACGTATATTGAAAGTCAAAATGAGTTAAAGGTGTATCATTTTCATAAGAATTATCTTTTAATTTTTTTTTAAGTATACATGGTATATGAAGTTGAAAAGTTATGAAACTCGCGAGATCTGATTTTTACGAGATTTCGTTGCTTACTTGTGCTCGGTTTCTGTAGAGACAGGGGAAGCAACACAGGTACATAGGACCGGTAAATGACTCTATACTGTCCTCCTGATTCATTTCAAAGCTTGAAGGGCACACTTCATTGTCAATTGTCTTCTACAAAATATAGTAAGCATTAAAACAAACGTTGACATAATAAGAAAACTCCTTACATACATTGTATGCACAGAGAGAGAGAGAGATAGAGAGAGAGAGAGAGAGAGAGAGGGAGAGTTTTCCTGACATTTTCTGCAAGTCCACAGGGGATCTTTTCTTCTTGCTCATCATTCTACAATTTATAAAAGTTTTAATTCAATTTTCAAGAAAAAAAATTAAATAAACAGTATCAAATTTCTAAAGTTTTAAGCAATTGGGAGAGATTGAACAAGTAAATTAATGGAAAAATCTAAGTCTTACTTCAGCTCTGTTTCTGTTACAGCAAGGAAAGCAAAGCGATCTGCGCCTTGTGCGTGACTCGGCACTATCTTCATCTTTTACCAGCCTGGAATTTTCTTTGCCATAGACAGCTGTCTGCAAAAACCGTCATTGAAAAATAATCAGTGTAACTCATGTACAGGACTATAAAGAACGAAAAACTTAAATTTTAATTAAATTTTAATTAAAAAAGAAGTTAAACATCTTTCTAATAGATGATGATCTCTTTTGCTCTGCAAGGTTAAAAGTGTTTACGTATGAAATGATTTTTCTTTTATTTTAAAAGGAGATATCCTATAAACATTAACAAGACAAGACTGCAATTATGAAGTCCCTTCATGATGTCCGCGGAGTTTACTTTTCAGAATATTTGAATTGATTTGTATACTAGTGTACTATAGTAGTGTGTTTAAGTGAGCAAAACAGACCTTAGGTTTGGTAAAAAGAATATTAAGGGTGCATGAGACAAGAAACCTTAGTACCTGTTTTTCTGCGGCATAGCTTTGGCTTTGTTCATTGCTATTGGCGTCTGGAAACCCAGCTCTCAATAATCTACAAGACGGTTGCAAAAATTATAAAAGTATATTTCGAATCCTCTTGAATATACCGGGAGTGTCGGTAAAGAATTCTTTCGTATCAGGTATATAGAAACATTCTACATGTAACACTCTTAATTCAATTGTTAAATTTTTAACGAAATTATATACACAATCGAACAATAAATTAACTCTCTTAATTTATTTTTTTTGAATATTTAACGAAATTAAAAATACAATCTAACAATAAATTAACTCACAATTTTATTTCTCTTTCTCGGACCTGCTGAAACAGCTCTTCCACTGATAGCTCCAGTTGGCTTTGTGTTTGTGTTATCTGGTCTTTTCTCGTGACTTCGTTTGCTTCTTTTGAGAGTACGGATTCCTTTTCTCCCGGTGGTGTAACTGCCTTTTCTCCTGTTGCCCCTCCTCTTCCTAACTCAATAGGTGCTTCTGTCCCCGGAAGCAAAGCCCCCTCCTCACGTGGGGGTATGGTCACCGCTTCTTCTAAGCCTCCCCAAAGGTTTCTGTTTCATAAATTGAATAAATGCAAACATTCTGTTACGTTCATATAATTTCATGTTAAAATAAAAATATGATTTCCGTATACATTAACAAGTACATGTATATAAATTCCAATTTTCATACATTACAGACTGTATTTCTGCCTTATTTTAAATTTTCAATTATACTGTTTATACCTTGCAATGATGGAATTCCTGTCTAAGGTCTCAACCCCTCTCTTCACATCGTTTTCCTTTTGCTTTGGAAAAATAAAAAAATCATTCACAATTTATCTATATTTCACAAAAACAAGAAAAACATATGCTTTGTTTTAATTTTTTTTAAAAATGAGTATATGACTCAGGTCGACAGCGAGAAAATCCAGTTGCGAGGCACGTTTTCTCTTTTGTAAACGTAATTGTGAACAAAATGTCTCTTTAATTCCAAAAATGTGGACGTAACTTGGGGAAAAAAGGGGGTAACCGGTTGAAAATAAAAATAAAAACTCTTAAAACAAATAAAACTCTTCCTTTTCGGTTTCAAAATACGCATTGGAATAATCTGTTTATTTTAACAAGAAACTTACCTCCATAATGGAAATTCTAAGTGAAGATTAAAAAAATAATAATTGTAAAAACTCTTCTGACAGCCAGAAAATGTATCAATATTGATGACGTCACAATTAAATATATTACTCCGCTCGCTAATCATGACGTCAAAGAGCGCAGTTTAGTATTCCATAGTTACAGGTACTGCGCAAGACAATATAGTGATTTTTTTTTTTTTTTTTTGCTAATATTTTTCATTCGTAGAATTAAAATCAATATTATATTATAAGATCTATCTTCAATAAGAAGTGCGTCAGTAACAATAAATCACATCAAACTCAAGCGCAGATATTTTCTAAGGGAAAAGGAGGGGGGTCCTAAACGAACTAACTTTTTAAGGGCTGTCAAGCGGCGGATCCATGAATTTCATAACGGGAGGTGGGGGATGGGGGGGGGGGGCTGTGGTAGAAGGTAGGGGGTCTGGGGATGCATTGAAGTTCCAATATTAAGTGGGTCCAGGGCAAAGATCTGGTAGGGGTATATATGGGGGCTTTTTTGCCCCGGAAATTTAAAGTAATTCCAACAAATAAGAGGTGTTTTACATTAAATTGATTTTAAGATACCAAAATTTTTAAAAAAAAAAATAGGGGGGGACCTTGGATCCAATATTAAGTGGGTCCAGGGCAAAGATCTGGTAGGGGTATATATGGGGGCTTTTTTGCCCCGGAAAACTAAAGTAATTCCAACAAATAAGAGGTGTTTTACATTAAATTGATTTTAGGATACCAACAAAATTTAAAAAAAAAAAATAGGGGGGACCCTGGATCCGCCTTTGCTGTCGGTCTTATAGGGATCAAGTCCTAAGTTTAACAAAGGAATTAACAATTGAAAGCTGAAATCGAGATAAAAATGAAAACGTCAAATCTGAATGGCCCGGAGGCTCAGATTCAGATTTATTGAGTAGAACCCCCCCCCCCCCTTGATATGCGCTTCTTTTTTATATTCGATGGATGTACAACAAATAAAATATTTTATAAGTTCTATGTATATAATGTATTTTTCTCTTTTTTTAGGCTTAAAGCATATGAAAGAATAATCGCTTCTGCGGGGATACAAGGGCCTATCGATGTACATTACATATTTATTAGTCTTCATATGAAATTTTGCAAATTTATCATAGGGTCAGGGAAAAGAAGTACCAATATTTCAGTTCTATCTGAACTAGGTAGACAACCGATATTTTATTCTATTATTATAGCAATTATATCTTACTGGCACAGATTGGAAAACATGCCTGAAAACTCTTTGTTATACAAGGCATAGAAAGAAAGCTTTATCTTGGACAGTTGTATTGTAAATAGTTGGTTTTCAAATGTAACATATTTCTGTAAAACAAAAAAATGGGCATAGATTGGTCAAGATGTAAATCAATGAAACTAATAACTTTAAAGAAAGAACTGAAAAAAAAATATTAGAGAGGATTTCCTTCAATGTTGGTTTAAAAAAAGAGATGATGGTTGCCTATCGGGTAATCTATGTAAAAAGAAGTTTTGGAATTGAAAAGTATTTATTATTAAAAAATTTAGAACAAAGAAAAATTATATGCAAATTCAGAGTAATTTCACATAATCTCAGAACTGAAAGTGGAAGATATGGAAAAAAAACTCTATAGGACAGCAAACTACCCTTGCAAGAAATGAAAGAATTTGTAGAATGTGTAACATGAACTGTGTGGAAGATGAGATCCACTCACTGATTGAATGTCCATTATATAAACATGAAAGTCTAAGAGATGAATTTTTTAAGGTTATTGCTAAAAGTAATAAAAATTTCGATACTTTAACAAATAAAGAATTTTTTTTATGGATTATGTCTAACGAAAATGACATGTTGCTTATCAAGCTGGGTAATTTTTTAATCAATATCTTTAAAATATGAAATACGAATTATGCAATGTTAAAAAAAGAAACAAATAAATGCAAAAGAGTAATAAAGTAATAATGTTTATACTCTAGTATAAAAGCCTTATATGTACAGAATGTCGATTATATATGTTGTAATCCCCAACTGCTGTATCATCATTAATCTTTTGTTAGTTGCTACTATCAATTTTGAATTTCTTCTTGTATGTTTTTATCTTTACTTGTATGCTCTGAAGGGCCCCAATTTGGTAAAAACCATGGAGTGAAAACTGTCTAATCCGACACCTGAATAATCCGACACACTGTGAATTCCAAGGTTTAATTTCTTTCCCAGTTTACTATTTTTCCATGCATGTTTTAACACTGTGCAATCCAACATCCTGTCTATTTCCATACAAAATTTGTCTCCCAGTGCATGTCGGATTAGACAGGTTTCACTTATTATAATCACTTATGTATTAATAAATCTTATCTTATTTATATAGGCCTATTTTGGATGACTTCTCGATCGGAGCTTCAATCATTTTATTTTTGCAGAAAGAAGAATATTTTCTTTTGAGTAAGAAAAATTTCTTCCCAGATAAGCGCTGTTTTGATAAGACCAGTTCCAAGAGAGCTGAATGGTTTCAACTTATCAACTTTTAAGCTTTTATTACCGTATACAGTACATATTGATAATGAAAATCAGTTTATTTATTTTTTGTTTGAAAAGAGGGAGGGTACATAGTAATCGATATGTCCGTTTGTACGTCCGTCCGTCTGTTTGTTATGCTTTGAGGTACCCATCTCTTATTCGCAACTCCTCTCATACCACTGAAGGAAATTTAATGAAACTTTCACAGAATCTTTATTACATATTGCCATTGTGCACCTCCTACTTTACGTTTTGATCTGACATATATTTTGAATTTTCCAGAGCAAAACATGGACACTGTCATTATATTCATATGGGAGGCGGGGTTATCATTTAGTGAGCTCAATTTTCACAAGTTTGCCTTTAATTTAATTAAAGATCGGGCTCGGGGTTTATTACGTAAAATCAAAGATGGCAGCTCTCTTGTCGAATTGTGTTCGGGGATGTTGCAGAATTTCACGGTATATATTGGGTTAATAAACGCTGAATTTCCAAAAATATATATGGGGAAATTATTTTTTTAATTTTATGTTTAATTATTTCTTAACATTTTTCGAAGAAATATTTTTTTCAACATTTTTAAGGACGTAGAATCTTATGAAATACGACCTTACACTAGATATTCATGCTATATTGACACGCCTTTTGTCTTTAAAAAAAACTTCTTAAATTGTTAATTTGAAGACATGTTTTAAAATACTGGAGTAAGTAATGTATTGGTTCAACTGCCATTTATTTATGTTTTTTTTTATTCCACAAACCTATGTCTTTTTGAAGAGTTTGTAACAGTTGTTAAACTTGCTCAGTTTTAAAACTGTATGTCCTTTATAATCTTCTGCATGGTCATTCATTCATAATACAAAGAACTTCAACTTGACTAAAGTCTCAATGAATGGAGGTACATTATTACTAATTCTACATGGTAAGTTTCAGAAAGAAATACTGTATACAGGGTTATTATCGCCCTGTTTTATTTTCGTCCTTTCACACTTGCAACCAATTATGCCTCGTTTTAATTTCACCCAGTCACCGTTTTGTTTAAGAAAATATAATGCATATATTGAATTCGCCCCTTTTTAAATTCGCCCAGACGATGTAAGGGCGAAAGGGGCGAAAATTATTTCCCTGTATACAGTATTCTAAAGATTATTTTTAAGCAAGGAAGAAGGAAATAGAGTAAAAGAAACCAAGTTTGAGCTCACTCTAATAGCATTTAAAAACAAATATTTTGTAAAAGAAGGCATAAGATGGTATTTTGTAAAAGTTTGAGTGAGAAATCTTGCAATTTTACATCAAGTTTTATTTTAAATCTTTGAGTTTAAAATGAAATATGCTATTACACAATGGTACCTGAAGTTAATTTCATTTGAAAAATGGTATATTCTTTGTTGGGGGAATTGATTTTTTTTGTTGGCACTTGAAATATAAATTTACAAATTGTCTCTGAGGCCATCTTTAAAAAGATGGGTGCCCTCTCCCAAATGACTGACCAAAATGGCCCAATTAAAAACTTTAATCTTACATTCCAGGACACAATATTTTTTTTTTATTCCTCTTATCCCTGCAACGAATATATTGAAATTTTCTGGGAAAAAGATTTTCACACCTTCCTATCAACCTAATAGTTTTACCCTGAGTGGGCAAGCACACATTTTTTTAAAAGATGGTCTGATGTAGATAAATTAATTTTTTCCAGAGGAAGAAAACCAAATTTAAGAAGGTTCTCGACAACACAACACAGACTTAGAGATGAGGACACGCCACTGAGTGAACCGCTGCCAGAATTTCCTCAGCTGAAATACGCCACTGCATCACCAGAAACGTACGACACCCCAGTCACAACCCTGGAGAACGGACTCAGGGTGGCATCACAGAAAGTGTTTGGACATTTTTGTACACTAGGAGGTAATGTCCTAAATGACATGAGAATTAAATTTTGTACTGGTAAATAAAGAATGAAAAATGTCTATGTAAGAAAGGAAAGGGAAAGTCTTTTTTTGCCAAACTTTTCAAACTCTTTCTAATAATATAATGCACAAATAACACATTCCTTGACACAATGTACATCATACATGTTGCTTTAAATCTTTTGTGATTATTTTCATGAATATATTTTGTTCATGTTGATATGCACCCAGAAATTTTATAAAATGTAAAACTATGCATTATTACAGGAAAATCAATAGAGAAATAGATTTTGCAAAAATGAATTCTCATTTGATTTTCTGGCATTGAAGCATTTACAGTTTTAAAACAGGTAGATAATGCCTTGGCTTCATTTTTTTCTTATCTATTTTTTCAGTTTTGATTGATTCTGGCAGTAGATATGAAGTAGCCTATCCCAGTGGTATTTCACATTTTATCGAAAAATTAGGATTTTGTGTCAGTATATTTTTATCCTTGTTCGTTTTACTTCTATTTTTACTTCAAATTTATCTTAATTTACTAGGATACTGTTGTAAATGAATTGATTTATGTATGTTTTCTTTGGCAGTCAACGACGAAATACAGGAGCAATGATGAGATATTACAGGTTTTAGAACAATATGGC